AGTTACAACGGCTACCCCACCCTTCAAACCGAAACGCATTACTGCTTCACGACAGAAATAGGCGGGGTGGTGGTACCTACCCGTGCGGACTCACAAGAGGTCCTACCACCAGTGAAACAATTGTTAATAAATAGTTATTTTAGTATGTTACATCAAATAAATAGATCTTGCATTATAAAAACTAAAATAGTTTAATTATTGTAATAGTTTTAAAAATAAAACAACTTTTACATAGTGTTTATTTTTTATTTATTTAATTCCTTTTTCTTCAACAATGTTTCTAACATTTACAAGTCNCGCGAGGAGTGAAGTTGTGTGATTTGTTTTATTTTGTCTATTTAGTGTTTCTTCAGGTTTAAATGTGTAATAATGGTGGTTTATTAACCGTTTAATATCTGTGAAAGTGCACAAATGTGGGAAAATGAAACAAAGCTGCTGGACGTAACTTCTCGGGTTCCTCCAAAAAGTCCACTGAAAAAATCTCAGTAAATGACCACCATTTTACTGCGATTATATTTCATCTCATATCATTTCATTTCATTAAATTTCATCCCAGTTGATTAATGTCTCAAATTAATCATCTTCATTTCATTTCACTCCATATTATCATTTTTCATAAAATTAAGAATTTGAAGTAAAATAAGACATGACTTAAAGGTCTTAGTTACCAGGTCATAAAATCTCTTAAAAAAAAGAAACTGGAGGTGTGTCTTGGATGTGTAACTTAAATTTGTCCACCTAAAATAAAGCAAATGTCATTATAATTTTGACTTGGGACAGGTTATGGGTATACTGTCCATTCTCATGAATGGGAAGCTCAAGGCCAGCAGTGAGATATTTATGGGATATTAGTATATTAATTCATAGAAAATAATTATTATACAAAATAACAAATAGGGAATGTACTTGCATGTAGCCTGGCACCAGATTATCTACATTAATTTTAATTTGTAGTTTATTTTTAGTATTTAATTTATTCTAAGTTTTTTTTTTTATTAGAAGTTAAATAGATAACAAATAATTATTAAACCAACCATGTTCACACTGCAGTCATCAGTCAGTAGACTATTTTCCTTTCCAGGATTATCTTCTACTTCACTACTCACTGGAAGTTTTTTAATTGTTTCTTTATGTTCTGGTATCTAAAAAAACGTGATATATAATAAACATTGATTGAGAAAATACTTTGTACTACTTTGGCCTAGTTACATTTAGTTTTTCATAGTTATAGTTGATTAATCTATATTAAGCCCAGTATATAATTTATGCAGTTTGTCTAAAATCAGATAAGGATTCAAAATGTAAAGTCTTTAGAATACTCAAAATATTGAAGTAGGTATTCATATTATTACTTTTAATATGTAGAAATGTACCTTATCACAATCAAATCGTGGAGACAATCCTTCCACACTTGGCCCAGCTAGCTCCATTATTATTTTCTCTTCCTGAGTTAGATTGAAATCCTGCGATGGTCCAGGGCCACCTCCAGTGCAATAGAGGCTTCTTTTATGGTTACTATATTATATTATATTATATTTTTTTTATCTTTTTTAAATTTTCGTATTTAGCCCGTAGAGTTTTCGCGTCTCTTAGGCACATTCCAGAAGAGCTATTGTAAGCTTCTGCGAGCTTTTTCCATGTTTCTTCTTTTAAATGATTGTTTACAACGTTTGTTGTTTTATTTTCTAACACATTCGAATATATTTTTACTAACTTCGTTAAAAGTTCCGTTTTGGCAGTCGTAAAATTCGCAACTCTTTTCTTATTTTCATTCATTTTATTGCATATTATTATTAAATATATTATAACAACAAAATTAAAAAAACCCCGATCAGTATGTACCTATGTATAAAATTGGAATAATTCTTTTTTAACGTCACTGTCACGTAAATGATTAAAAGAATGAATGAGTAGTGAACGAAACTGATGATACTATTGCCTTGAAAAAAGCACTGATCGAAACTTAGTTGATCTCTCCACATTTTCGAATTGATATTACGACACAGGTTAAATCGATTAACTTTTTCCGTAGATTACGAACTCCATAGTTTAAACTACGATTGATATCACGTGTAATTTAGTATTTTCGTAATGCATGCATTAATTTCATGAATGCAAATAAGTTTCGTGCCCTGCGCGATTTTTTGGTGAAATTAGTGTCATGCTACTAATTTCATAGCGTAGACTCGTCGTGAAACTAATGTCGCGAAAGGGCCTGCGCTGTGTGGACGTGTGTATTTTTAGTTCGCGCGCGCTTCAAGCCTTGGAAATGGATGGAGTACACATAAAAATATAACATTCATTAATGAATATCAACGACAAGAGTGTCTCTGGGACCCGAAACATCTACAGTAAAAAATCAAAATTATCTTCACTCATTCGAAAATAGTTTTTATAGCTCTTAGGATCTTCATCTGGTAATCAGAGACTAATTTCATTGCACCTAAATGCCTTCTTGTTAACCATCCTCGAATCTACCAACGTCTATTTTCTTGATAGCCTTTTTTTAAGTTTTTAGGTACATAAGCACTTCTTTAGTTACTGCGATACTGTAGATTTCGCGACACTAATTTTTTTACGAAATTACTTTCGCATTAATCGAAACTACTTTCGTGAAACTGAGTTCAACATGCATGACACTAATTTCGTAATGTAAATTTTTTATTTTTTTTATTGCTTAGATGTGTGGACGAGCTCACAGCCCACCTGGTGTTAAGTGGTTACTGGAGCCCATAGACATCTACAACGTAAATGCGCCACACACCTTGAGATATAGTTCTAAGGTCTCAGTATAGTTACAACGGCTACCCCACCCTTCAAACCGAAACGCATTACCTCTTCACGGCAGAAATAGGCGGGGGGCGGTGGTACCTACCCGTGCGGACTCACAAGAGGTCCTACCACCAGTAATTACGCAAATTATAATTTTGCGGGTTTGATTTTTATTGCATGATGTTATTCCTTCACCGTGGAAGCCAATCGTAAACATTTGGTAAGTACGTATTTCATTAGAAAAATTGGTACCCGCCTGCGGGATTTGAACACCGTTGCATCGCTCGATACGAATGCACCGGACGTCTTATCCTTTAGGCCACGACGACTTCAAAATTCGACTTAAATTCCGCATTATAGATCGTATTTAACGAACATAGTAAAAGTAGAACCAGTATTTAGTTTCTCAAAAAGAAGACTTTTTACTGAATTTCGTTACTTAGTGATGATATGAAATATCTCCTTTCTTCATATTCGCTTCGCCACTTTTGTTTTTGCAGTTTGCCACAGCACAATAAGGCATATTTGTATCGATTTGTCTATCTTTATACGTTGCGAGCGCAGGAGCGGGACTCACGTTGCGTAATGAGAGCGTGTTTAGAAAATCATGCAATATAGTGCATGACTTTGGCACGGGTGCCACGCCCACTTCGCCGTTCTATCTTGATATTATTTCTGTGGTGTCAACTATAGTAGAATTGTTTTTTCCGTGCAGTTTGGGTCATAAAACATAGCCCGGCTAGGGCGGTGAGCATGTTGCGCGGGCTCAACGCCATTATCGATAAAAACAAATGAGTTATTGAAGGCAGGTACACGGCGGCGGGGTGGTATACGAAGGGTGGTGAGACATGTTATGTTAAGAGTCATCTGTACTTACCAGCAAATTATAGTACATTATGTCGAAGAGTAATGTGTTTTTATGCATTCGTTCTCTTATAAATTTTTTTAGTGACACAATGGCTACTCCTACTTAGTACTTAAATGGAGAGAAAATATCTTGGAAGACCTTGACCTTGACTATGCAGATGACATAGTATTGATGACGCCAACTTTGGATCTAATGCAAGCAAAACTTGAAGACCTCCGTATATCTGCGGAGAAAAGAGGCTTGCGTATCAACACCAACAAAACTGTCGACATGCGAGTAATGTCAAAAAACACTACTCCCCTAAAGCTCCAAGACTGTGTGTTGAAGTCAGCACAGAAGTTTACATATCTGGGGAGCTCCATATCAAATCAGGGTGGTTCGGACGAAGATATAGAGATACGAATTAGGAAAGCCAGGGGTGCTTTCGCGCAGTTGAAACCAATCTGGGAGTCAAGCGTCATGACTCGTCGGATCAAGCTGACCCTGTTCGACTCCATTGTCAAGAGTGTTCTCCTGTTCGGATGTGAGACCTGGAGAGTGACCAAGACACTCACGAACCGACTGCAGGTATTTGTAAATAAGTGCTTGAGGTCGATACTCCGCATATTCTGGCCAGTCACTATCTCTAATAAAGACCTTTGGACTAAATGCGACCAAAATCCCATCGCGCAAGACATTGCTCATCGGAAATGGCGTTGGATAGGACACACTCTACGGCGCAGCGGAGTCAACGCAGCATCAATCGCGTTTGAGTGGCAACCGCTTGGCAGGAGAAGACCTGGTCGCCCTGTACACACTTGGCGACGCACCGTAGAGAGTGAGATGAGGACTGCCAACGTGACCTGGAGTGATGTCAAGGAGCAAGCGCAAGACAGAGTAAAGTGGAGACAACTTGTGAGGGCCCTATGTACCAGCGGGGTACCCTAGGACTATAACAACAACAAACAACAATGGCTACTCCGTCTTTTTGTATGAAAACGGCAGAATTTATTCAAAATAATATTTGCACTTGTTGTTATCAACAATATGTTAAAATTTTTCACTGAAATAAGAATAAATCCCGAAAAGATACAAAGTGTTAATTTCTGCCATTCTCGTTAACTTGCTGCGGCGATATGTGGTGTAAGTGTTCGATTAGTGATTCTTTCTCTCATTTTTATCACAAACCCACAAAATGACAAAACTAAATACACTATCGATAACGCTTATCGACAACAATAATGCGCATCACTATGCCTGTCCATAAGGCTCGTGAGTGGAAGAGAGAGCGAAATACTCGCTTCACCGCTCCGATTTTTTATGACCCAAACTGCACGGACAAAATAATTCTACTAAAAAAGTTTTAAGAATTTTGAATTTCAAATTTGAATCGTTGGTGCTGTTTAAGGCTGGGGCACTATGAGAGATCTGATTTTCGAACCGAATTTTTTTTGTACGCGTTTTTAAATGTATAACATTTGGCAGTGAAAACTGCGTTTGAGTGTAATTTTTGATTTGAAAAAAATTGATTTTGATTTTGTAGCAAGTGCTGTAAAAATGCCAAGAGGAAGAGGTAAGCTTTTCTACTAATCTTTAATTTTAAATTTCATTTTAATTTTTAGTTCTGCGAGTGGAAACGCTGTGGAGCCTAATCCAGGCCCGTCCGTAGAACAATCGCGGTAAGATTCAACATAATTACCCTTTATTATATTAAATTGTTCAAACAGAATTCATTCATTGGATTTCTGTTTTCAGTCCAAATTCCTTGCTGGAGCAACTAAATACTCTCAAAGTGACGAGGGCTTTGGACCCTAAAAATCTGGTCAAGTTGTCTCTGTTTAAAAAAAACACCTTGCGGAGCTCATGCAAAAAAGACAAGTAGACAACTTTAGGATGTCTGATGCTCCAGAGCCAAAGTAAGTAAATTCAAAGTTTTACATGTCGCTAGCTTGTTAGTGTCAAACATGTTCTTATCCGGTCAGCATTACATTATTTATTTACAGAAAAGTAAAGGGAAAAGGAAAAGACAGGGAAGAAGACACGCAAGTCTGGGGCTCATGCCCACTTTTACCGGGGGTACCGACTGTACCTCCCCAACATGTACCTCAGCCGTGGGAGCTACAACGTTCACACGATAATTGTGTGGGTGAGTTACAACGTTCGCATCTCTGTCTATATTACTCTATATATTTTCAAAAAGATTGTTTTTTATGTATTATATATCCTCGTTTTTATACTCCAGATATCAAAAAGGAGGAGGAGGAGGACGATGATGTTATGGAGGGCACAACTCCCGACTTCATGATCCCGCTGCGACTGCTTGCCCAGGCGGTGCAGTCTGCTGGCACGCCTGCACGGACCGCTCAAGAACCTGTCATGGGTACAATTAACAGTTCCTACTATAGAGTTACAACGTTCGCATCTCTATCTATATATTTTCAAAAACATTGTTTTTTATGTATTATATATCCTCGTTTTTATAATCCAGAAATCACGAAGGAGGAAGAGGAGGACGATTATGTTATTGAGGGCACAACTCCCGACTTCATGATTCCTCAGCCACCGCTTACCCAGGCGGTGCAGTCTGCTGACATGCCTGCACGGACCGCTCAAGAACCTGTCATGGGTAAGATTAACAGTTCCTACTTATTATAGAGTTACAACGTTCGCATCTCTATCTATATATTTTCAAAAACATTGTTTTTTATGTATTATATATCCTCGTTTTTATAATCCAGAAATCACGAAGGAGGAGGAGGAGGACGATGATGTTATGGAGGGCACAACTCCCGACTTCATGATCCCGCTGCGACTGCTTGCCCAGACGGTGCAGTCTGCTGACACGCCTGCACAAACCGCTCAAGAACCTATCATGGGTAAGATTAACAGTTCCTACTATAGAGTTACAACGTTCGCATCTCTATCTATATATTTTCAAAAACATTGTTTTTTATGTATTATATATCCTTGTTTTTATAATCCAGAAATCACGAAGGAGGAAGAGGAGGACGATTATGTTATTGAGGGCACAACTCCCGACTTCATGATCCCACAGCCACCGCTTGCCCAGGCGGTGCAGTCTGCTGGCACGCCTGCACGAACCGCTGAAGAACCTGTCATGGGTAAGATTAACAGTTCCTACTATAGCAGAAATAAGTTTTTTGCTCTGGCTTACGCAATACTTTAAATTATTTTAATCATATTAAAAGTTTTTGGACATTGATTAATTTCACTAAAATTTATGAATTTTTCAGCTCCTACTACTTCAACAACGGCATCCGGCTTTGGGAGGAGCGCTTACGAGTTTGGTAAGTAAGACTATGGTTTGCATTGAATATGTCGCGTCTATAAGATGATTTGATTAAAACTTCTTCACCTACTTACCCCAGATGTCGAAGTACATATCAAGCGCGACTTCAAAGAGCCTGGCGAAGGCAGCGAGGTTGAACTTGAAGAAGATCCTGTCGATATTACCTTGAAGCCAAGGAAAGTCGACGAATATCCAGTGGACAGTGAGAGCTTAGCGGCCCCGTCGCTAGTTGAGGCAATAAATAGTATTGATGCTGAAGCCGACTTAGCCCTTCGGACCGTCTTAGATCCCGGACCCGATCAAGACTTGCTCAGCTTCGATTGGCGATGCGATGCGGAGAATTTCGAGGGAGTCAGGGAAGTTTTTACTGTTCCGTCTACTGGCCCAACTTTTAAATGCGCGGAACTAACTCCCTTGGGAGTCTTTCTGAAAATTTGGGATGCCGATATTATCGCCCACATAGTCCGCGAGACCAATCGGTATGGTGGTGAAATGTTAAGGCGTAATGAGAAGCCCAACTCCAGGCTGAAACGGTGGCAGGACGTTACCGATGACGACATAAAAAAGTTTTTCGCTATTATCATGTTGCAGTCGCTGGTAACAAACAATGTGGAGCGAGAATATTGGTATCCCAAATTAGATGAACTCCGAATTGGGAATTTCGGTGACATCATGCCCTACAACCGGTTTTTGATAATCAAACGTTGTCTACATTTTGTAAACAACGCGTCCTTGCCCGTGCCTTCCAACAGACTCGACAAAATTATGCCCGTCATTGAGCACCTAAATGAAAAATTTAGCTCCCTATACATACTTGAGCAAAACGTGGCAATTGACGAGTCACTCCTTTTATGGAAGGGGCGACTCACATTTTCGCAAAAAATTGCCACAAAAAAAGCGAGAGTAGGTATAAAAAGCTACGAGTTGTACGAGTCGAGGACCGGCTATTTGTGGAGGATGGAGGTTTACTCGGGCAAGGGACACATTCATGTTGCGCAGGTGGGGGTGCAAGAACCGGTTGAAGAGCATGAGGAAGGGGATGAGCCAGAGAGTGCTACTTCTAAGATTGTGCTCACTTTGATGAGACCTTTATTTAATAGAGGCCATACACTCGTTATGGACAATTTTTATAACGCGCCACTTCTATCTCGGATCCTCAAAGTGAAGCACAAAACAGATTCGATGGGCGCTCTCCGACTCATCAGGGAGTTTGTTCCAGAAGGCTTAAGAGAAAAGGCAAAAAAAAACATGAAAGCGGGAGAGGTGGCTTTCAGCACGACCAAAGACTTGAGTGTAGAAGTGTGGATGGACAAAAACGTAGTTGCAATGATCTCCACATTCCACCAAGTAAAAATCGGCGGAATTGAAAAATATGGGTACTATAGATACAAACCCCAAGTAGTACTCGACTACAACCTCTCTATGGATGGCTTAAACCATAAAGATCAAATGCTGCAAGCCTACCCTATGGAGAAAGTGAGAAAAATCATCTGGTACAAAAAACTCTTCCGCCGATTGGTCAATGTGTCAATACATAATTCCTTTGTTTTGTTCAACCACAACCGCACTCAAGTCATTGGAAATCGTGAGTTTCGGCTGCAGTTGGTGAAGGAGCTACTGCAAGTGTGTGGACCTAGGGCAATTCCTCGGCCAATAGAACCAGTGGCACCAGCCGCACCATCGCAGATGCATTTGCCTGTAAAAAATGAGCGATCGCAGCGCTGTAAGATGTGTCACGCAGCCAAAGTGCGTCGTACGACGGTGTGGAGGTGCAGCACCTGCGCAGTGAACTTGTGCATCGAAGGCTGCTACATTGAGTACCATAAATAGAGGAATTGACCCTCTGTCACCCACCACACACAGCAGTAGGCAGCGTCTTGCCTCTGCCCCTGGCATTGCTGAAGTCCATGGGCGACGGTAACCACTCACCACCAGGGCCGTATGCTCGTCTGCCTACAAGGGCAATAAAAATTAAAAAAAAAACACACGCACACCACATGTACCATTAGTCCATTGAAATGTTATTCATTAATATTAATTTAAGGTCCGAATATTGCATTTTTTGCATGCAAACACAACTATTTGAACAATAATTATATACGTATTTCCATGTTATATAAAAATGATGATTCTTACATCAGTAATTTCTTCAAAAATGCTAGGAAAATGCTGTAAAATGCCCTAAGTTAAAAACAAGAAAGTAAAGAAAACTTCAACGTATGTATAATATTTTAAAACTGCATGGAATTTTTTTCCTAATGTTTAAAATAATTTCTGGTGCAATGTAATTAAGGTAAAATTGTAAAATTAAAAAAAAAATTACTATCATCGATCACCTTTATCCGCAGAAACTTGTTACAACTTGATTGCGTACGGTTTGCGGGCTATCCTACGAAATCTTTGTTAAGTATTTTAAGTTTTTATAACATCATACAGGGTAGAAATATAAACTAATTATTTGTTATGGTGTAGTAGGTGGTTTTAATTTTTGTGAAATTTAAAATATATAAGCAAGATGTCCGTGGACTAGGCCTACTGGGGATACCACGTAAAAAAAAACGCGCCTACAGACTCTACCTCATGGGTGGCGGGGAAAAGAGTTAGGAATGAATAAGTAAAGTTGTACGAATTAAATCAAAATTTTGTAAGAATATATTTGCAATAAATAAAAGTCGAGCAAAAAAGAATTTTGTTTATAGAATTTTTTATAAAAAAAAAAACTTACTTTTTTGCTTATAACTTCTTTAATTTTTTATTTTGGGCATAAAATTGTATAATTATATTTGTAGGCAAAAGTATTTGCTACAAATTATGACTTTACAAAATTTTTGTAAGACGCATAGTTTCCGAGATATCGCGAAAAAAGTGTTTTCACCCCTTTTTCCAAGATGGCGGCCGGGGGACAAGGGACTACATAGATTGCTAAATTTTATTTGTTTGTTGTTGTTTTATAGCATTAAATATCCACTCTTCATCCACTTCGCAAAATTTAACTAATACATAAAAAAAACATGAAACATAGGTGTATAAAAGTGAGACTTATGACTCTATCGCTCCTACATCGTTTAGCTCCAACTAGCCTCTTTATCATAGAAGTCCGGACCTGTCCGTGACTGAGCGTATTTCCGGATCACGCACTCAGTGTGTACCAAGCCCTTATTAGACCCGCCATTTGGTGATACTTTTTTTGTTTACCTTTGGATATTGCAATGCGATCCAATGTACAAGTGTTATTATACCTTTTTAGAAAGGGCTTTAAAAGTAATATTTTGTATAGTAATTGTTTTTTTTTATATTGTATGGTATGTAGAACAAAAAAATCTGTGTGAATGAGAACTGTTGCACTAATTTTTATTTTTCTCAGTAATGGTAAGCGTTATCCCTGTGATTTTTGTTTATTTAGTGAGAATATTAGTCTAGTTATGTTAATTATTTTAATTGTAGGTCTAACTGTGGTATTTGCGTATCTGTGACACGTAAAGCTTATCTAAAATTACGGCTCACGCCGTCAGATTTTTATGCAAAATTAAAGGGCTGTAAATAAATTATTTTGTATAGACAGGTGTATTGTTCTATTTTTATCTCAATTTATATAGTTTAAGCAATTTAATTTAAAATAGAAAAACCCCTGTGTTATCGCTTAATTTTTTGAGATATTATTATTTAAACACAAGTCGTGCTCAAAAACGGGCTATCTCTGTGTTCAGCGTATCGTAATTCTACACCGTAGTTGAATACTAATAAACAAAATACTTCAATGTCAAGCATAATTCATACTTAACATAAAAAACATAACACTTGCTATAGTAGGATTATTTTGTTCGTGCAGTTTGGGTCATAAAAAGTCGGAGCACTGAAGCGAATATTTCGCTCTCTCTTCCACTCACGAGCCTTATGGACAGGCATGATGATGCGCATTATTGTTGGCGATAATTGTTATCGATAGTGTATTTAGTTTTGTCATTTTGTGGGTTAGTGATAAAAATGAAAGAAAAAATCACTAATCGAACACTTACACCACATATCGCCGCAACAAGTTAACGAGAACGGCAGAAATTAACACTTTTTAACTTTTCGGGATTTATTCTTATTTCAGTGAAGATTTTTAACATATTGTTGATAACAACACGTGAAAATATTATTTTGAATAAATTCTGCCGTTTTGATACGAAACAAAGGAGTAGCCATTGTGTCACTAAAGAAATTCAGAGAACAAATGCATAAAAACACATTACTCTTCGACATCATGTACTATAACTTGCAGGTAACTACAAATTACTCATAACATAACAATGTCTCACCACCCTTCGCATACCACCCCGCCGTCATGTACCTGCCTTCGATGACTCATTTGTTTTTATCGATAATGGCGTTGCGCCTACGCAACATGCTCACCGCCCTAGCCGGGCTATGTTTTATGAATCAAACTGCAGCGACAAAATAATTATAGCGCTTATCGACAACAATAATGCGCATCACTATGCCCGTCCATAAGGCTCGTGAGTGAAAGAGAGAGCGAAATACTCGCTTCACCGCTCCGACTTTTTATGACCGAAACTGCACGGACAAAATAATTCTACTATAGTTAAAGTTACGCTGAAATAGCCTCACAGGGCTCTCAGCTAAGGAACGAAAAAAAAAGTCGAGGCATTGTGGGGTGAGCGTCAAGAGCCCGTTCGGGCAAGTCGACGGGTATAGTTCTTTTCTACAGAATGAATATAATTTCTACATCGGCCGCATTGCCCCATAGCAAAATGCCATAGGACATGACACTGTGGAAGTAACTAAAATAAACTAAACGAGCCGTGTCCGCGTTTGTTAACGTTCTAATTTTTTTTACTGCGTATGCTGCAGAGCTGAGCTTACTCGCCAATTTATGAATACTAGAGGTCCCGCAGTAGTCGAAATTCGACTATAATTAATTGGAATTGTAAGTTTGTACATTATTATGATTGTATTTTATCCTTCTATAATCACAAATTTCGCCAAGGCTACACTATAAAAAATATTAACAAAGAGAAACAATATTTAATCTATTCTCAATTTGACAACAGACGTCAAGAACAAAAGTTTGACATTATATAGTATGCATGCGTGTGTGCGTCAAATACATGGTATGTAGTGTGTGTAACGTTTTCTTTATTGATTTAATGTATCTTTTATGCATTATTTAAAAAAAATATTAGCATTGTGCACTTCTTCTCTATACTTTCTATAAGTGTGGAAAATTTCATACTCCTCCATCCGCGCAATTTTCGTAAAAAGGAATACAAAGTTTTTGCTTCACGTATTAATATATAGATGAGGCCCCCCTGCAGTTTGGAGTCCACTGTTACACCAACTGAAACACAGTTGACTCAACAAGCTCCAATGATTCCTCAGAAACAATTACATTACTATCTACTTGTCTCACATTAAAAGATGATTTAATACATTTTAAAGTAAATTTAATACATTTAGTTTTCTTACTATTCAATAAGAGATTATTGATACGGAACCAATGAACCACTTACGAAACCGCATCATTCACTTCGTCATAGACTTGCGAATAATACGACCTCCTGTCGGGACTCAATAAAACTAGGTAAATCGTTTATATATAATATATATTAGAAATAAAAAAGGACCCAAGATGGAACTCTGAGGTACACTCATTTTCAACACGGCGCCTGAAGATCTATTACCTTTTACATCTGTAGTGTGCAACACTCGGCCGCACTCGGGCGTCATCGGACGCGATCGGGGTTCCCGAACGCGCTGGTGTCCCGTGACGTCATGCGACGAGATTCGCGCGCGTCCAGTTAAGTGTTGATTGTAGTAATTTTAATTTTAATTTGTATCTTGTAGTGCTTAGCGTTGTTTCCTCTTTTTAGTTTATATTATAACATTGTACACATTATAGATATTGTGGAAATGGTGTGTTTGACTTTTATATGTTCGGAGTAAAATATCCCGCCAATACGAACAACAAATAACAAACCACACATCTACTGTTTGTATCCTTCCCGATAAATAGGAAGTAATAAGTTCCAATGCACCATCTCTAATAATAACCTAGTGATGTAGTTTCCTCACCAATGTTTCATGTTCAACACAGTCAAATGCTTTGGATAAGTCACAAAAAATTCCAAGACCATCAAGATTGAAAGATATTTTTGATTAGATAAGCACCTGCATCAGTGGTAGAGCGACCCCTGGTAAACCCGAATTGTTTATTATGAAGCAGGTTATTTGAATTAAAATGTTCTAAAAGCTGTGTCAAAATATTTTTTTCAAAGATCTTACTTAACGTAGGGAGTACTGAAATAGGTCTATAGTTAGAGGGGTCATCAGTACTACCAGATTTAAAAAGAGGAATCACTTTACTATGTTTCATTAAGTCAGGCCACACCACACCTAATACAATCATTAAAAATACTAACAAGATGAGAAGCAATAATGTCTATTACAGACCTCAAAACCTTTACCGATATTCCCCACAAGTCAGTTAATAACTAACAGAATAAATAACTAACGTTTTTAATTATCGGATAATATAAAAAAAAGAACAATATTCCTAACCTAAAAGTACATGTTATTATCCGCAACACGCTTCGTCAGATTACAGAAATAGAGTTATCAGCAACATGCTTCGTCAAAAAGTACAATACTTACTTTCAGGTACAAGCGTCGTCATAACATTACATAACATAACTAACTGTTTTTTTTTTTATTTATTTATTTATTTATTAAGTCGCACCAACAAAGTGATCATCAATACAAAACATTGACAAATTGACAAAAGTTCATGGCAGATGTCACCTCAATTATAGGTGCAATCGAAAGTGCATTAACATCAAAAATAAAAAAAATATATACAGCTAAGATTTGAATAAATTTCATTCATTGCTTAAGATTAATTTAATTGGGAGATGATCCGCGACAGATTTTTCCTGTAAGTAGTGAGACAATCAGAAAAAACATCTATTTCACTTAAAATAAGTTCAGCGCAATCGGACAACTCGAATTTTGCTTACAATTTGAAATCGATTCAGAAATCTGTTTGTCTTGCAATATTGACTCATTGTATTAGCATGTCGTATAGTGGGCGTGACAAGAGTTCGCTTTGTGCTCAACGATTCCAGATATTTATGGATTCACTTAAAATATTAAATTTGATAGTTTCATTGATAACAAGATTTTAGAAATTTCTCCAAAAATTTTAACGAGACTCTTTGTTAAAATCGTCACTGAACTAAACTGAAAAGGATCGGATATATGTTTTATTTTTATTTTGTTATTGTTTAGATTTGTGCACGAGCTCACAGCCCACCTGGTGTTAAGTGGTTATCGGAGCCCATAGACATCTACAACGTAAATGCGTCACCCACCTTGAGATATAAGTTCTAAGGTCTCAGTATAGTTACAACGGCTACCCCACCCTTCAAACCGAAACGCATTATTGCTTCACGGCAGAAATAGGGGCCGTTGTTGGTACCTACCTGTGCGGACTCACAAGAGGTCCTACCACCTTAAGATATGAGTTCTATCTAATGAAAATGCATTTTTTTTAATGAAGTAATGTAATATTATTAAAATTTGTACCTACATATTTATTAAAGTTTCAAAAAAAAAATACAAAACATTCTATTCTAAATGGCCACCTTTCGCCTGGCCTTACATATACAGACCTTTTATCTGCTTGGCCACGAATCTACGGATTTACGCACTGTTTCCAAGGGAAATTTTGTCACTGCTTGTTCCAAAGATTTTTTAAGAGATTCAATATCACCGGATCCTTTAGAGCAGGTCATGCCCTCTAAAACTGACCATAATTTGAAGTCTAAAGGGTTGAGGTCTGGGCTAAATTAGGGCCAGTCTTCAGCTCTTATAAAGTTCGGAACGTTGGTTTCAAGCCAGGCTTGGGTAGTTCGTGCCTTGTGACCAGATGCAGAGTCCTGCTGGAAAGTCCACGGTATATTTTTAAAAAGTGTATTGCTGAGAGGTTTCACAACATGATTCAAGACTGTATCTTGATACACTTTGGCTACACATTTGTGACTCCTTGATAAGACACGCTCCACCAAATCATCACTGACGCAGGATGATGACCACATTGTACCTTTCCGACCACTTGAGCAGCTTCTTTAGAACTGTGAGCGTACACTTTATCATTTTGATTATTGTTCTGTTTTTTAATCGTGAATATTTTTTCATCGGTAAAGAGGATATTTCTGTGTCTTTCACCTGCGTATCGCGACAGAAGGCGTTTTGATCGATCCACTCTCTTTAACTGTAAAGACTGATTTAGGGCTTGTCCTGTATATCGACTATAAGCACCGAGCTTCAGGTCTTGTTTTATAATACGCGACAGAGTCCTAGCGGGAATCTTCGTTTCTCGTGATAAGATTTTTTTGCTTCCTAATGGGGTTTCGACGAATTCTGGCTTTAACAGCATTAACTTGTAATTCTAACAGCACGCGGCCGCCCCGATCTTTTCTGGTCTTCGACAGACGAAGTGTTGTTGTATCTGTTGATAGCACATGCTGCTGATACCAAGCTTTTGAAGTGTCTAGAATATGACCGACGGCTCCATACAAACTTTGTCCGGTAACCGTACTCGTCGAACTCGACAAAGAGGTCGACGTGCAACCTAACTCATGCATCAGCCCGCTGAGTTTCTCGCCGGATCTTCTCAGCGGGTCGCGATTCCGATCCGGTAGTAGATTCATTCGCGAAACAATTGCTCTTGAGTTGTTAGGTCTCCTTCGGAGGCGCTCGGGCAGTTGTTAGCAAATCCCACCCCTCTTGGCTGAGCCTTTGCTCGCCCACCTGTCCTGGTGAAACTGGAAAGGCCTTCGGGCCACCAGTAAACTTTCAATCATAAAAAAAAACAAACTTTGTGCAAGGCGATCACTGCAATCCTATTTTCTTTAACACCCCATTCCATATAATAATTTGATAATGAACACGAAAAAATATTTGAAATGGCGCAAAATCGAAAGAGGTTTTTAAAATAACATACGTGTTCCAAATTCAAAATAATTAAACAGTTGAAAAAAAAAAGTTTTTATGTAGCAGTATTTATGGCCAGACTAGTTATAGTTTCGTGGTAAGTATGCAGAATGTTGGGACGCACCCGTGCTTACTCGCGACATATCTATAATAGGGATTGAGTTTTTTATATCCACGAACGACAGTGACTGCTTACCGTCAAATGGGCCGTGCATTCGTCTGCCTTCAAGTTAAGTTCCAGTCGTAAGTTAAACCGCCTTAAGTATTCTATCTCATTCTCTCACGGGTAAATCTTTTAAATGTATCTTGCTGTCTCTTTTCGGTGTCGCTTTTTCGTTTCATCCATTATCGTTTTGAATCATAATTGTACTGAAAGACTATGTGAATCACACACATTGTCTCCTAGCTTTGAATGGCCATAAATAATATTGTTGTTATTAAATCCAATAAAATTGAGATTTTTTTTCATAGTTAACGACTTACACTCATTTGAATCAATGAATAATACTACTAGAGAAGACTACTAGCAGTTAAGTCTTTCGATGACAATTTAAAAAAATGCAAAGTCAACACAATATGACATCTTTAAACGTACTAGAGGTCCCGCAGTAGTCGAAATTCGACTATAATTAATTGGAATTGTAAGTTTGTACACTATTATGATTGTATTTTATACTTCTATAATCGCAAATTTCGCCAAGACAATGTACACTATAAAAATATTAACAAAGACAAACGATATTTAATCTATTCTCAATTTGACCACAGACGTCAAGAACAAAAGTTTGACAATGAATAGTATGCATGCATCTTGACGCACACACGCGTCAAATACATGGTATATAGTGGGTGTAATGTTTTCTTTATTGATTTAATGTATCTTTTATGCATTATTTTAAAAGAATATTAGCATTGTGCACTTGTTCTCTATATTCTCTATAAGTGTGGAAAATTTCATACTCCTCCGTCCGCGCAATTTTCGTAAAAAGGGATACAAAGTTTTTGCTTCACGTATTAATATATAGATATTCGTTTCATCAGTCCTCGGCCGAATGGAAACCCTTCATCAAAGCATGACGTATTTTATGGCAAACAAGTGTTTGACCTTCACATATACCATTTGCTGAGTTTGAATATTACTTTTTGGTAACAAATAATTTCTAAGCACGCGTTGAAGTCTTTTCAGTGGAAGCTATAGTCACAAAAAAAAAACTCCCATCTTACTTTGTAAGGAAGTTTGATAGATCGATTTAGTTTAAGGCATAAAATGATTGCTTATATTTAATTAATAGTGAGTAGAAATCATAAAAACCAGTACACGACTCTACATAGAGGCAAATTAAAACAGCAAACGCTGGTCTAAATATTAAAGAATAAATTGAAAACATTTAATCTATTTAAGAGCGAAGTGATAATTACTTAACACCAGCCCTCAGTTAGTTAATCGACCGACGATAGTATAGATCACGCAACAATTATTGCGACAAAAACCATGATTTATATAGTTACAATATAAATTATCACACTACAATACTTCAAGACATTTCGTAAGTTAAATTACAATTTTATTCCAAATTAAATATTACGTAACTCGTTTCACAAACCTTCAATGTAAAAATTCCTTGAACTTCCCAGCAGTCTGCACTAATACACTATCGAACCTTAGAAGAACACTGTAAGACTTACGAAAGAATATGATTGTAAGAAGTTTGAATATGGAACGCGTGCGTCCGCGCCGAGTTTCCGCGCGCTACTAGCATATGATTACAGAAGGGTGGTCAGGTTTAAGAATTATTTCATTTTATTGGCAAAGAGATTTAAAGAAATCAGTAAATAATATAGGTTATGTGTGTCCTTTTTTCAATATTGCAGTGGGAGATGGAGTTGTAACTATTATACCTCTTTGAGTAGGCAAGGATTTTAATAATTAATAAATATTGAAAAGGCCATGATCCGGTACAGCTACCAAGATTAAAATACTTCAATAAGACAGCAGATTCACTATCAACGATTCAACTTATATCATTAACCATTAAATAAAATAACCAATTTCATTATTCAAATATTGGCCCAGTTATAGATGTCTATGGGCTCCAGTAACCACTTAACAACCAGGTGGGCTGTGAGCTCGTCCACCCATCTAAATAATAAAAAAAAACACAATTTGATTTTGAAATATTTATTTATTTATTTATTTATTTATTATATTTATTACTTATTTATTACTTTGAAATATTTATTATTAATATTTATTAAAATAAAGAGACATGAATTTAATAATAATAATTTAAAGCTAGCAACACGTTTTTAGTACTAAAAATGCGCGGGAATGCAGCTGTCAAACTGGCACGCTGACGTCACTAGTTACAATCGCCAATATGTAAATACGGTAAGCAGCAGTAGCAGAATTCATTTATTAATCGTTTGCTGCAATTCGAACTGAATCGGTTGTGAACTAAATAGTGTTTTGTAACTAGGCTTAGTTATCGACTTTCTAATGCTGTGGATTTGTTTTTTTACAGCCATCAAAGTCAAATAACGAGATGGTGGTTAGAACTGGTTAACGTCCCTCATGAATATCAGTAATGCTAAGTACATACTTCTGTGGACTTCAGAAGACTTCTGAGGACTATTTCCAAACTTTGTTTAAGGACATGTCATATAGTGCACTCGGTGAAAATTCGCGTAGGAAAGATCATTGTAAAATTTGAGAGACCTGTAATCTACTGCTTATTCGGTCGATCGGACTCTCCATTTGATTGTTCTACTATACTTCTTGATTCTTTGACCCGCACTACTGATTCTATATCTCATAATCCCAATTTCTCATTGCTAAAGCAATTCAAAGGTTACTAGCCGATCCATTAACGGTGCTTTTAGGTACCACAAGCACCGATTACCGTCCTCGTCGAACCCATCGCTTGCGACGAACGGCTCGGGGAGCGAATTAACCCACAGACACAGCCAACTGAGTTTCTCCCCGGATCTTCTTATTTGGTCGCGTTTCCGATCCGGTGGTAGATTCTGCGAAGCACTGCTTCTTGCTAGGGCCAGTGCTAGCAACACTATGGTTTGAGCCCCGTGAGCTCACCTATACGTTACGGCTAAGCTGATATATAGCCTCTCAAGGCTGTCAGCATAGGTAGGAAAAAAAAGATTACTAGTTTTTATTACATTTATTTTATTCCATCGAGAAAACGGTCCGACCGACGATGTGTGGTTGTCGTAGCCTTTGAAGTCTGGCAGTGGCACTGATCTCTCATTATGAAAAACAAATTTCAGCCTTCTTTGAAGAAAGGCCTTTCTTAGCGCTCAAACACCGTTGGCAACCTGTTGCATTTCCACATGATATTTGGCTAAATAGCAGCTGTTATAGTTAATGAAGGACGGGTGATGTGATGATGACAAATATATTATGACAGAACCACGTCGAATCATTCCTTAACCGTTATTCATTTATATTCATAAGTCAAATGACATTATGATTCACACTGTTAAATATTCAAACAAGTGTGCATAATAATTCCGGTTTTATTTATTCTAAATACTACTTCAACGTGAACAATAAAATAACCAGTTTATTTATAAGTTAAAAATAATTTAAAATTTCTTAATGTAATTGATTATATAATTTGATTTAAATTATTGAGTAAGCCACGTGAGTATGACTCAATTTATTTTTAATTGCGTAATTACTGAGCGACTTGACTTGAACAGTTTTACGGCGTTTTGAATACGATTTATTTAAAGTACCTTTTTAGTTGTGATTACACGAACTATCTCTAGTATCTTCCTCTTCTCAATCATTTCGCTGTTGATAGAGAGGTCGTCATATAATTCTGAGGGAACAAACTTGGCGAGTCTCATGATACCCTGTCATCTCTCTAGATATAAATTTAAATATAATCTCTCTCTCTAGTATACTACTTTGTGTTCAGACTGTTCTGGAACACTGAGTTGAAACTAAGAGCTCAAATATCTGCTTAACGTTTGGGGAGGTAGTGTGCATGTTTGCCAGTAACCTCATATTTGACTAACAGTTATTTTTTTCTATTTCTGATATCCACGTATAATTTTATTTCTACAAAATAATTGAACCTAGTTATTTCTCGTCATAACAAGCGTTTAAGGTTTTGTCTTGATTTCTCTATGACAAATTCTCATTTTTTGTGATAAAAAATTACCAATTTAAAAAATTACCAAAAATACCAAATTAATTAATAATTAAGTGGTTACTGGAGCCCATAGACATCTACAACGTAAATGAGCCACCCACCTTGAGATATAAGTTCTAAGGTCTCAAGTATAGTTACAACGGCTGCCCCACCCTTCAAACCGAAACGCATTACTGCTTCACGGCAGAAATAGGCAGGGTGGTGGTACCTACCCGCGCGGACTCACAAGAGGTCCTACCACCAGTAACAAAAGTTCACTGTTGTCTCGCAGCAAAAGCGGCATGTTTGATCTGCCACGGTGAAAAAAGTATTTATTCTTCAAGGAGCTATAATAGCTAGAACAAATGTAGTATGAATACATTTCATGAATGCAAGAGATCGCTCTAACGCCTTGACGTCAAGGTTCGATTCCAAATAAAGCGCTAATGTGCGTTTTCCTTCGACACATCCTACAAGACGGTTTGTGAGTTTGTGAATCAACGTATTCCCACGGTAAAACAATGCATCTTGCATCTCCCTCGTACGTATTGAAATGAAAAGGACAGAATATCTTCCTTGTCAAGATTTAGCGAACACTTTTCACGACTTCTAAGTTATTTCATTAATCTTCAACGTAAATGTATAATTTGCATATTACATTTACATGTAAATACATAACGTGTGTACATACGTAACGTACATTGACCGATTGTATTCATTAGCGAAACATAGTTTAGAAATACTTTTTTTTTTTTTCTACCTAAGCTAGTAAGCCTTAAGAGGCTATTCCAGCGTAACCTTAACTAGTAGGTGAACTCACGGGGCTCGAACCTGACGACGTTGCTAACACGAACCCTAGCAAGAGCCGTGCTTCGTAGAATCTACCACCGGTTCGGAAACGCGACCCACTGAGAAGATCCGGCGAGAAACTCAGTGGGCTGTGTCTGAGGGTGAAATACTGTTATGGGTTCCATAATCATATGTCAAAAGAGAGAACTTTTTTTCTTTTTCGTTTATATTATTCGTGGAAGTTACGAGCACTTGGCACACCTAGTGTTAAGTGGTTACCGGAGCCCGGAGGTGTCGCAGCGTGATTTGACTTCGGTTTTCGTGACATGACTCAAATTACTTTTACGGTTTAATCTTCGATTTTTTTACTGTCCGTATTTTATTTCTAACCTTTCGAATACTTAATAATTTTCAAGATCGAATTTCGATTTATTGTCGACTGGGATGTTACCCGTAGACATTTGACTATTGGGCTAGCAACCGTCTATTTCCTTATATAAATATTATTATATCCTTTAATTTTCTTTCAAAGGTTTTACGTTTCATCTTCATTCTAAGGTAATGCAAGTCTTTTTTTGATTGCATTTATAGGCAGACGAGCATACGGCCCACCTGACGGTAAGTGGTTAGCGTCGTTCATGGACGTCACCAATGCCAGGGGCACCAAGACGCTTTTTTTTCCTACCTAAGCTGATAGCCTTGAGAGGCTATATCGGCGGAACCTTAACTAGTAGGTGAGCTCACGGGGCTCAAACCTGACGACGTTGCTAACACGAACCCTAACAAGAGCCGTGCTTCGCAGAATCTACCACCGGATCGGAACCGCGACCCACTGAGAAGATCCGGCGAGAAACTCAGTGAGCTGTGTCTGAGGGTAATTTACTCGTCGAGCCCTTCGTCGCAAGCGACGGGTTCGACTGGAACGATGAGCGGTGCTTGAGGTACCTAAAAGCACCGTTAGTGGATCGGGAGGATGCGAAATGACGTGTTTGGGGCGACGTCGACTGCTTTCCATTATTTCCGCAGGATCGGGAATGTAGTTACCGGCGGCCACGATGAGAGGGTTCTCGTGTCGTGCCGCTTTATCGAAGTGGCGCGTCGACGCCGACTGCAGATTCTTACTGATGGACTCTAAGTTCAGGTCGTCATGGAAGTATTAGTGTTCATAGACGCTAGCCATGGTTACGAATCACGAATGAGCCTTTTCACTCAGGATTTAATTCAGGGTGTTTCTTGAGCGCTATACCATACTCTTTTTCAAACGAGGTTTAAGTTTCTAAGCGATCGGTAGGGGCTTGGCTGCACTGTTGGCATTGCTTGCGTCCAGGCCATATGCTCGCCTATAGAAGTCAACCCATTCCTGTTAATAGCGAATAAATAGAGCTATTTGCACTTTATTCTCTGTCCATAAAGTACATTTTACTTTAAAGTAAAACTACTAGAGAATGGTCTGCAAAGCCTGTACCCGAGGTCGTCTACCGTCTACGCCAAAAAAATACTGCCAAGCCCTTACATTGATTTTAAAATCTATAGGAAATAGCCACATGTTCAGTTACTAATGGATCGTAATATGTAAAGGCCAAGCCGTGTAAATGTAAGCGAACGAGTCCTTACTAGTGGTAGGACCTCTTAGGAGTCCGCACGGGTAAGTACCACCACCCTACCTATTTGCCGTGAAGCAGTAATGCGTTTCGGTTTGAAGGGTGGGGCAGCCGTTGTAACTATACTTGAGACCTAAGAACTTATATCTCAAGGTGGGTGGCGCATTTACGTTGTAGATGTCTATGGGCTCCAGTACC